TAAATTCTTAGAGAAAAAGTATTAAAAAGATTTGCAAATTAGTAAACTAAAGGTTTGAGGACCAAGTCTTATTATTGTCATTTAAATGGTAAAAACGTTGCAAACGGAAACTGTTAATTTGGAACTGAACTAATGAACTTTTTGAAAAATGATCTGTTAATTTTAAGCGTGCAAATTTCGGTTTAAATGTTGATTGTTGTGGTTAGGTATGGATCTGATCTTTGTATTTTTAAAGTTTATATAAATTGCAAATTTTAAATACTTCGACTGCTTAAGGGGCCGTTCGCATTTTAAGGGGGGGAGGGGGGGTTTGAAATATTGGAACAAAATGTAACATAGTGGGGGGGGGGGTGTCAAGAAGTATGTAACGTTCTAACTGTCGTCTGTCTTTTAAAAAAGTTTTGTTTAAAAATTCACACCAAAAACATTTTTTTAAATTTTCCTCCTTTTTAATTTTTTATGAAAAATTATAAAAATAAAATAAATTATGTACGTTCAGGGGGGGGGGGGGGGTGAAAAAAGTCGTTTTTTTGCGTAACCTAATAAGTGAACGGCCCCTAATGTACAAGAACATTTTGACATTGAAGCTCTGTTAAACGTTGGAACGAATCAGAAGCTATAAGAGTACCTTATGGATCGAATGCTGATACACGAGCTTGTTATGTCTTCAGAAAATCAAAACAGAAAATTAATATTTTCAAAATCTAAATTCGAAAATTGTATTCTTAATTGAAACAATGAAGCCAAGAATCTAGAACAGCTGACCCACCCAGAATCGAATATTCATGTCCTGCATCACAACATACTTAAATACATAGTAATATGTCATATTTACAATTGTTTCATTTCAACTTAACCAGATTACACATCCCTTTTACAATAAATCATAACAGCAGTTTAATGACAATGCACATTATGGGAGTTGAAATGAATAAAATCATGCCAATAAATATTAAATAGCAAATATTTGCCACTTCATCAGTCGTCGTCGCTGAATAATTTTACTACGACAGATTTGTTGTTTTTGTGTGCATCGAATAGAAAAACGAGTTTTCATCATCACACATTACAACAAAGTGCACGGCAAATGGCTTAAAAAATATCACAACATATGCAGCCGGCATTTTGCACAAAATGTTGTATAAATAAATATATCCATATTAAATCCATGTGCTTAATAACTAAAAAAAATGTTTAGATCGTAAATTTACATTCATCTGCGAGTACGAGACCTTGTAATTGAACTGAACTGAAAGGTATTTGGCTTCAGAGAGGAGTGTAAAAAAAATATATTAAAAGCATTGCACTGCACATGGATTTTTCTCACTCACCGTATTTCCTGATATTTTCACATCTGCACAATCTAATAGAAGAATCATCAGCTGCAGAGTTCATTATCGTCCAGTAATCGTTTTTAATATTTTTTTTTTCTTCTCTCTTGCTCGTTGCATATAAAATTTTCCACAGCATGCTGCTCAATGTGTGTATATGACTAGCATACGATGAATCTGGTTTAGCTTGATGAGGCAACAAGCATTTGGTACATCGAACCGATCGACTGCTTTAATTGTTAATTGATCAACTTCTCCATCTTGCTAATGCATTTGACTATCTATGTAGCTATCTATCTATCGGACTATCTACAGACAACAGCTTGTCTTCCAATTAAAAACCATAAAAATGGCATAGAAGATACATTGTGCATGCACTAATTGGAAATGACTTTCAATATAACGAAAATTGTAAATCAGGGTCGTTCATAAATGGTGTTCAATGTTTGGGGCGGGGAGGGGGGGGTCTGTTGCATTCAAAATTTCAAAAAACTATTTTAATGGAGAGGAAAAATTTTAAATCCAAGAATTCAGTTGACGTAATTTATGAACAACCCCGTACATGTAACATACTTAACAGATGAAAATAACGACAAATGTTATGATGTGATAAACCCTTTTTTTGCTAATAATTCTCATCATGCACACCGCATATGGAACAATTTATAGGACCGTTGACTGCAGTATGCATTTTATTGTGCAGCTGATGAAGTGAGGAAGTTACTTTTAAAGGAATTCTAAAGAAAAATTTTAACGTTGAAAAAAAGGGAGCAACCAAAGAACGACCCGCTGACACAAAAATTATTATTTTCCTAACTTTAAAGTCGTCTGTACAGCAAAAAATTGCACTTTCGCGCCGAAAAATAGAAGAGAATTAAAAACTTCAATAAATATATTATTATCCCTCTTCAATATCATACAAATATGCAAGTGTTGCATTCACGTCCATCTGTCTCATTTCTATATTAATACACAACGACCCAACTATCATTTGTAGGCTAGAACATGAGTACGGTATGTCTATTTTTACACATGGAATAAAATAAATAAACATTTTAAGGACTTCAATTAAAATATGTTCCATTAGTCCTGGGTATTAATTCTATTGTGTATATCATCTGTTATCATCCGCGAGCATTACAAACAAATGTACGAAAAAAAATATACACACGACAAGATTAATCATATAAATGGAAAGTTGTGTGTGCGAGAAGGAACATTTCATTGACATAATTGAACATAAAAGCCATTTGTCAGTGAGAATGGTAGAATGGAATTGTTATGATGCTGTTGACTTTAATTGCTTGCAAAAACATCATGCGTTACTTTTTTTTGTCGATTTGAATGAGACTGTCGTTGAGGACCTAATTTGATCATTATTTCTCGCCCTTCGTGATTTATATTTTGATTTCATATGGATATGAATTAATTAGAACGTTGATGTTAAATGGATGTGATCGTTGATTAAGGAACAGAGCATTCTATTCAAGAATCTTGAATTCACGTTGATCTATTGAGTTGAATTTCAGACTCTTGATTATTTGTATATTGTTAATTTTCAGATTCCAACACAGCATCACTAAATGTTAACTATAATGTCTGAATCTTCTTGTATCCAAATCAAATCCATCCTTAGTTTCCAGAAAGCCTGTTTTATTGCTTTAATAGCCGTTAAATATAAGTTTTAGTTATAAGGACTTATTCACAAATGACGTTCATTAGAAAATTAATTATTATTACTCTTTCAATCGAAACTGGACTCTAAACTAAATGCTAAGTTCATTAATTAAATTTTTCTTAAAAACGCTTTAAATCTACAATAAATCTCGTCTTCTTGACTTGTTTCTCAATCCTAATTTTTAAATCATTATGTAATTATAGATTTCTTTTTACTACGTTTTTTTACTACGTTTTTTTTACTACGTTTTTCTTAACTTGCTTTCTTATCTGTTTGATTGATAAATTGTCCGCAAAATTTCGTACTTTTGCAATCGATTTTTCGACCACTTCTACTACTCTAATCGAGCTCAAATTTTTAATGCACACGTATTCCCGGTGACAATACAATATTTTAATACTTTGGAAACACAAAAATGCTTAATTATAGTACAATTTATGCAAAACTTTTTTATATGGGAAAAAATCCAATGTCAATGATATAAAATTTTGATTTGTTTAAAATATTACACTTGAAACGCTCAAAAGTCTTTTATATGATTCATTATAGTTTAATTAATTATATTAATTATTAATTATACTATAAATTGGAGAAGCTGAAGATTTTCTGGGAGGATTAAAAAATTGACAAGTAATTTTTTCATGAAGCACAAGTCCGTTACGAATTAATGCAAAAAAACTATCAATATGCGATGTGCATTTAGCACACATAGTTTGAGCATAAATTTATGCTGTTTTTAATGTATTACATTATTTATAACACTTCACCAATTTAATTAAATTGACTCTTCTATTTATTAAGGGCTTAACGTAATTTTGCATAACATATAAATGATATTTGTTGAATTTAAATTTGAAAAAGCAAACAAACCAGCAAACAAGCATGCAAGTTAATCAGTGTTTAACTTTTGTTTTAAAAAATTCGTAAGAAAGGAAAGTTTTTCGTTTTTTTCTGAAGCAACGGCTGTTTTTACCTTGCCGCAAAGTGCTGCTCTATAGATGAGCTGTATTATTTTGGGCAAGGTAAAAACAGCCGTTGCTTCAGAAAAAAATGAAAAACTTTCCTTTCATACGAATTTTTTAAAACAAAAGTTGACTGTGATTTTTTTAAAATTCAACGTTCAAACATATTCTGAGCGAAGCTCAGCTGACTCGCTAGCTTTATACCTTCAAACTTATGCTAAGCAAATCTTGGTCTATCCATAAGACTTTTGATGGTACGGTGTGAATATATCCGCATTGGGTTTCTACCCGATACACTAGTTGTGATCCTATTTGGTCTTGTATTATAAATATAGGTGTAATATATTGTTATATTTTTGGTTCCTTGATTTGATTTAGATCTTTATGTTAACGTTGTATTATGATTTGAGTCTTGGTTTACTTTACTGATGTCTGCGTTAAAAGATGTTCTGAAGTCGATCATATTTGAAGTTCAAAACATATCATATTCACACCAAATTTTTCAAAAAGTTATTCATATCTTAAAGAATTTCATATCTTTGTTTCATATGTAAAAATAGTTTGAACGAAATTGCACATAATTGAACGAAGCTTACAAAATTTTTTACCTTAAACAGTAAAGCGCACGAAAAGAGCTTAGCATTTCCGAGGGACTGCGGATAAAGGAGAAAATAGCAAAATTACCTACTGTAATCTATAAACAGTTGAACGTAAAGAAGTGGAGTTCAACACACCTGTAACCAATAAACCCCATATAATCTTTATTTCTTTACAATAAGACTAAAAAGTAGAAAATAAAATACTTTATAAAAAAAACTTTTTAAAAAAACTACGTTTTTCGCGTGGACTAAAAAGGAGAAAATAACTTTTCTTCTTAGTTGCAAAGAATTTGGTATTAAATTTTCAGATTATATTTGATAAATTTTTATATCCTAGTCAATATCGTTCACAAAATTTCGAATGAGTTCACCTGGATATTATCGTATAACTCAACAACAAAAAACGTGGGCGCATTATTAGAGGAGAAATATGTTCATTTGAAATCACTACTCTATGATAAACTTAACTTAATGCGCCCACGTTTTTTGTTGTTGAGTTATACGATAAGATCCAGGTGAACTCATTCGAAATTTTGTGAACGATATTGACTAGGATATAAAAATTTATCAAATATAATCTGAAAATTTAATACCAAATTCTTTGCAACTAAGAAGAAAAGTTATTTTCTCCTTTTTAGTCCACGCGAAAAAAGTAGTTTTTTTAAAAAGTTTTTTTTATAAAGTATTTTAGAATTTAAGCTTCTCAACATTAAAGTAGAGCCAATAATTTAAATATTATTCGTTCTTGAAATAAATCTGCTTATGTTCCTTGTTGTAGCGATAGTCGAAGAATAATTCTTCACCTTGTTTAATGTTGCGAGTAGCAAACAGTGCAATACGCTTATCACCTAAAACAGTCATTGTCTTTACCAAACAATTTGGTGCTGATTCTGAATGATTTATAAATCGACTTTCATTTCCAATAAACATTCCGTCCACAGCATAATCACTGGATAAATCAAATAAATAGCTCATTTTACATTTATCGTACATTTTTCCTCTCTTATCAGCTTCCTGTTGAGTAATCAATTCTCCAGTATATTCAACGACAAAATCTCCTTTACTGATATCTTCGCCTGCAAAAGCACCAAAACCAGCAACTGTTGATAGTTTAATATCAATCTTTTTGTGTATTTTAGATTGGATTTTCATGTTATTACAGGTTCCTTCATTGGTTATATTTGATTTGCATCCACATTGTCCAACAATACATTCTCTAACCGCTGCGTAGCATCGACAAAACTTTGCATCGCATTTTCCTTTACAAAAGCATCCAATAAACTTATTCTTGCATTTATCATTACAGCTACAAAATACTTCACAATAGTTCTTTCCTTTGAAGCATGGACATGAGTCATCACATTTTCCTTCGTGATTACATGGCTTATACATAGCAGCAAGTCCTTCATACTGTTCATTTCTCTTGTTGTAATGATTATATGCAAATAGGTTTGCTTGATGCATCTTGACCTTCTTTGGTTTTTGATATGGATTAAAAGTTGACGTTGATGCAACTTGTTTGGATATATTAAAGATATCATTACATGACTTTTCCAATTGCTTTGCTATGCTGCAATAATCTCCATCAAGGGACAATAATTGAAGTTTTATTTCCGTCTCATCACTAACTGATAGACATGATGCGCCATTTTTCTCTCCTTTAAGAATCTTGTAGCATGTTGGTGAACAGGCATCGACAACTTCTGATGTTTTGCGAACTACAGAAGAACTTTCAACTGGCTCATTCAGAACTTTTCGGACATATTTATCAGTGAGATCGTAATGTTTACAAATTTGCTTTACGAGCAAATCATAGCCAATTTTGTTTGGGAATTTTTTACGTCCTTCCTTTATTAACTTCTTAATAATTTCGTCATGTTCTCCTTCAATTTCAATCACCTAATAAAATGTTAACGTAAGCATAATTATTGGAACTGGATGTTGTTACTTTAGTTTCTACTTACATTATTTGGAACTTGAATGTAACTATGTTCGCAATGGACGTATCTATGGACTACAATATCCTCACCAGCTGATTTGTTGGGATCTTCACCGATATAAATTACTTTTTTTGATCCAAAAACTTCGCTTGTATCTGACCACAATGAATTCTTATATTTTTTTTGAGGCTCTGCAGCCTTTTTACGGCGGGATTCTCTATAAAATAAAAATATAATTAATTAAATTAAGTTACTGGATGTTAAAAATGATAAAATTTACCGAATTTCTTCCAATTTTTTACAAAATAACTTCTTTTTTTCATCTTCCAATGTATTTGCTCGTTCCTTTATGAATGCCTCAACATCTTCTTTGTTAAAAACGTTTTCACTATTTGTTTGACTCATGCTTTATGCTTTAATTAATGCTTTTTTACAAATTCACAATTTTCGTCAAAATTAACCTTCGATTATTGTTGAAAATTTTTCAAAATCTTTTGGACTCTTTTACAAACTAGTCAATAAGAAATCATTTTCAAACGCATATCACATATTAAAGCAACATCTAGCACATTTAATTTAATTCCATATTTCCCATACTTCAACTTTCCTTGCACGTGAGATTCCTTTCATTCTCTATTCATACTCTCAATAGTCGTCGAAGAGAAGGAGGGAAACGCTTAAGTACTTCATCAAATTCAGATGAATAGAAAGAAGTAAGTATGAAAAGAGTTAAAATCATAATGATCATGTTTGTTGTGACGTTAAATGTAGTGAAAAACTTTACTTCTTCATCTTGCATCGCCGGATAATTGCAATCGCTTGAAAGGAAGTTATGATGTAATCATAAAGGGATTGCAATTGTTACTCAACGGGTTGTCCGAAATTCTTTATAATTTTGTAACCATCTGCAACCCCATGCATTAAGATGAAGAAATACCGCGATATTTTTCCTCCTTTTAATTTCTATTCGGTTCTATTCCTTAAAGAAGAAGAAGAGGGTTACTTTCAAATTTGATATTAAACTCTAAATTTCGTGAATCAAATCAAACATTCGTACACAACTCACGCAGGTGCGATTTCAAATGCCAAAAAAAAATATTTTTTGTTACATCCATAAAAAAAATTTGTTGAAAAACTTGTCTTTATTAGAAAAAGGACAAAAACAGAAGGGAAAGTACCGCGATGTAAAAGATCAGTGGCATAAAAGCGTGAGAGAGTCCGCGGTAATCAAGTTTTGATTTCTAAACAATCTTCTTTCTTCTATTTCTAATGTGAATGAACGTCCTGTTATGTAAGTTGTTGCATTTCTTCTTTTTTCCTTTGGGGCCGTTCACTTATTACGTTACGCAAAAAACCGACTTTTTTCACCCCCCTCCCCCCCTTGTTTCAACATGTTACAACTCGCAACCCCCCCCCCCCCCCCGAACGTTCATAATTCAAATTTTTTTCGTGAAATTTTTTTTAAAAGACAGACGACAGTTAGAACGTTACATTCTTCTTGACACTCCCCCCCCCCCCCTATGTTACATTTTGCTACAATTTTTCAAACCCCCCTCCCCCCTAAAATGCGAACGTAATAAGTGATCGGCCCCTTTGTTGACCCGCAAATCATAAGAAAGGATTTTTCATTCTATTGTAAAATTTCCAGTTTCAATTACATTTCATATCCTTGCGATTGAATCTTTTGTTTGATAATCAACGAAATGAGAAATTTAAATGAGAAACTGTTACTTTTTGTGACTGACTTTGATTGCATGAGAAAGAATGGAAGTTATTTTCATTAGATGAATTTTTAAGGCAATTAGAGATTCTTATGCTGTGAATACATTGTAATGTGGACTTCTTGAGTTACAGAATTCATGGGAAAATTCATGAAGAAATTGTAATTTTGAGATTTAAGATTGTTTAAGATCCAAAATGAAAACTTGGTAATAATTAGATCAAATTGTAAAAGCAATGCTAATTATTAAGTTTATGTCTATTTGAAGAACTTTAATCTGTTGATAGTTGATTATTGCAGATTGAATTTAAGATTTTTTTGTATTTAACAAAGATCTAATTCATAGAAATTAGATATTCTTCGATATTTGACCAATTATAGATCAGTAAGTCAATCAAGTATTCAAATCAAAGCAAATTTGGTTCAACAAGTTTTTTTTTTCTAAAGTCACAGGCAAGGAATCAATTAAGAATCAAAGTAGTAATCAAATTCAACTCAACATCTAAAAGTCAAAGATTTAAAAATCAATAACAAAAGATTTAACCTACATTGAGCAACAAAGTAAGTTCTTTGCATGTAAATTTTCGATAAAAAAAAAACATTGTCTGGCAAAAAAAAATCTCAGAAATTTCTCAAACCAAACCCTTTCAAACTCAATATCTGTTGTTTATACAATAATAAAAATCAGTAGCATTAATTTTAATCAACTCAGCATCAAAACAATTTAAATAATGCATATTAAAGATCTTAAAAACATATACAAACTATAAAAAATCATCTTAAAAACCAATGCAACCATGTCGAATGTGACAAAAATTAAAACGCAGAACATTCAACAATTGTGTGTGCAATAAATAAAGTATATTCCGTCTTATGATATTTATTTGAAGGAATGCTAAAGGGGTTACTGATCTTTCCCAAAATTACCAATACAGCGCACTTTAAAATGATGAGAATGAATTGAAAGGAAGTGAATAGAACAAAAAAAAATTCATCCCTATTCGACTTTATTGAAATTTCTTTCTTTTTAAATGAATTAATACGTAAAAAAAAGTTCAATAATCGCATGAAACTACTTTTTATACGAATATAAAACATTTAATAGCGCAAAAAAATCACATATGAGTATGACGTGAATAAGGGATAAAGAGACATAAAAACTTCTTAAGAACTTACCAAAAAAAAAAATGAATTTTCCCTTCGCGTATAAAGCTATAAAAGGGCGCTAAGAGTTTCTTTTAGAAAGTGGCGTCATGAAGAATTCTTTATATTCAACTCAACACGTTTCAAGGCGACTCGTACCCCTTGAGATATAAAAATTTGTTATGCTGCTCATTCACAAATCATGACATCTGCGCGAAAATCCATTAAAATCATAAATTCCTATTCTTTTGAATCTTTGTTTTTTTATTGATTTCTTTATAATTTCTCATAATCCTGACGTAAATTACACGAACTTTGTAAGTCATTTCGATAAATTTATTATTTTCATTTTAACTGCCAACAATTTACCAGCAATTCAGCTTACGATATTATCTTCACATTTAATGATTCAATCGTTTCAATTTGCCGTACCGTGTGTAAATGTGGAAGTGAGAAAATCCTGAAAATCATGAGGGCGCGTGGGAAACTTTATAAAGACTTCAAATATTGTTTAATATACTAAACTCATATTCCACCCCTTCTCTATTTTATTAGCAATTATTTGCGCTCGTTAAGTGCAATGTATTTTTTGTGTGAAAGTTCTCATGGAACAATAAAGTCCTTTATGATAAATGGACGAATGATGAGCATGTGAATAGGTTTGAAAAGGATTTGCTGATAACTTTTTGATGATAAGATAAACACGACTATTGTTTATTGTTGGAACTGTTTTATATTTTATGCAATTAAGTAAAACCTTAGTTGACAGTATGCACGATTTTGATTCCTGTGCTGATAATGGCAACGTATATTTGAATTATATGCTCAATACCTTGTCGTGTAAATCACAAAACAGTTTCAAAATTTCACATGGAATTATTTTAGTCACATAAAATCCAATTGTGCCACAAAATGCTTGTCCTAACATGTTTCACATGTCAAACAGGCTGTTATATTAATAAGATTGATCAATCATTAGCCAATATAAAGCTGATACGATCATGTCTCTAATTGGAGCAATACAGCATTAAATGTAATTTGTTGGTAATTATGCCTATGATTAAAACATTAAAAGTACACGATTTTTTAAAAAAGATTTAATTTAGTAACTTTTCATGTTCGTGAATGTGCTGAGCTAGTTTATTACTATAATTTTGAAAATTGAATTAAGTTCCTATAATTTGAACACATGTCATTTTTTGGTGACATTTTGTTGATGAAAGAATAATCTAGTGTTTATTATTATGATTGAGATGATTATACAGTAATTGTTTCCGTAAGTTTAACTGAAGTAAAAAATCATTAGAGGAATGGTTGCTAATGTGATTTAAATTAAGACTTAGTATGCCTTACTTTTTGATTTGTGGTATAATTTTAAGGTATTTGAGACGCAATGTAAGGTTTGTAATATAAAAATTGACAATTTTCATAGTATTAAGTTGATTTCGAACATGTAATATCAATATTTCAGGTTAGGATTTCAATAAACGTAAAATGTGATTGATTTTGCCATTTTAGACTTAAGAATCGAATGTTCAAACTTAGTAAACACGATCAACCAAAATGATTTCCATTTGGATCCATGAAATGTGTCTCTTGGGAAAGAATACTTAATCATCGAGCAATTCTTGATCAAAATCTCAAAACTAGTAAATTCATAATATTTTCAGCACTCATAAATCTCGTAAATCATTTTAAAAATTGCCATTACAAACCTTAATATTCATCAGCAGTCAATACCTGACTTTCTAGTAATCAGAGCAATTTTAATCTAGTCCTCACGACTTCAGTGCCTGCCCTTGATCAACTGACTTTTGCTTTATAAAAAATTCAATCCCATAAATTTATTCCCGAAGTGTTGTTACATGACAAATCAACTGCTTGATGTCTTACTTTAACAGTAATTTAAACATGAAAGATTTTCAATTAATTTTCTAGATCAAGTTTCTGATAATTTTAAGCAATTTATTATAAATAGAAATTGAATCGTGTCCAGCAAGCGTTTTTTTTTCAAGCAGGAAGTGAGCATATTTAAATTTCTAAGTTTATTCCTAGTTTCCATGCAGCGAAGAATATCAAATTCTAAACAGCAATAAAATGCTAATCCACAAGAAATAATTTCTGTTCCTGAATATCAATGAAGTTCAAAAGATTCCTTACAAGACGAATCAAATCTCTCAATATCCATAAAATAAATGATTTTGAAAATATTCAATAAGAAGAATAATGAATTTGTTTCACATCGTCATCGTGGTTGCTTTGGAACAGAAGAACACGTGTTCCATTTTTTGTGGATATACAATATATGCAAAGAAGAATGAAATACGTCGAGAATATATTTTAAAACACAAGTGTTTCAGAAATAACTGATTAGAAAAATGTCCACATTGTGAACGAACATATTTTTTTCTCATATCAGAGACTTTAATCGTCACGCCGCATATTCAGCCATTTGAGGATTGAAATCTGCAAAGTAGTTTCAGAATTATCGAATACAATAAAAGTCGAAAATATGAAAATTTCCCATCGAACTTATCACAGCTGCATGAATAATCCCTCAAAAAAATTGTTTATATGCACAGCAGTTGTGAATTCTCTCTCGTTAAACGTTACTAATCACCATATACATGTGAGGACTCTATACATTATGCAGTGCGAGTGACTCTTTCGATTCGGCAAATGTTTTTTTCAAAATTTTGTAGCCGTTGATCGAAGCCAAAAATTGTGCTTAATAAATGAACTATCCCATGACAATGCGATCGTATTAAGAGGGAAGTAA